AGGTAACTTCTTGATAGATGGTTGGATTCTTTCCCCAAGTGTCAGTGTGACTGACAGTAAGCAATGTGAAACACGTAGCGGCTTTTCTGTTTTTATTTGAACAAAATCTTAAAAGTGCTTTTTCATTATAGGGTGATTTTTGTTTCTTTGGAAAAGCTGTGTCTGATTCCAAAACATGTGAGGAGCCCTCCAGTCCATCTCGAGCAGGAATTTATATGGTGCTTTTCTAGTCTTGATGACCACTCCAACTTTTTTACACTTCAAGCCTTGTTCATCCATTCACACTCATGTCCATGGAGAAATGTGTTCCAATCAATCAATCAATCAATCAATCAATCAATCAATCAATCAATCAATCAATCAATCAATCAATCAATCAATCGCACATTGTCACACACTGAGTGATCCATGAAGTGCAGTTTTTATGGTTTAATATGTTGGCCAAGAGCAGAATTTTCATCGATAGATAGATGGATAGGTTTTGCAGAATACAAGCAAACCCAACAGTTAAAGCAAAACACCTAAGAAGCTAGTCTGAAAAGCTAGCATTTTGTTTGCCGATAGTGTATTTTCCCTTCCTGTATCCAAGCTAGAAAGCTTTTGTTCAGGTCTCTCCAGAGTTGGAGGAATGGTTTGTGCCAGCTTTTTAAAATGAAGGCTTTTCATACTGTATATCTACAGTGTTACCCTGTTAACCACAGCTAACAAATTATGTTCCTTTGTAGTGTAAGTGTGCAAGTGGGATTGATGTGCCATGCTATGAATAAGGTGTTACAGCATAGCAATGTAATTGTGAATAATAATGATAACCATCCTAGTGACTGTGTAGAAAGATATCCTCTTTTCAGCAAGAATCTTTTTTGGCTCTGTCACTTTTGGTTGGCATGCTGTTTAAAATGCTGACAGACATATTAGACTGCCCTATTCTGCCTTGAAACTTTGGTTTTTCACTGAGCAATTCATGAATTTTGCAACATTTATTCAATTACCTGTCTATTAGGTTCTTCGGGGACTCTATTAAGACTTGACCTGATCTCAGAGGCCCAGAGGCAGCTTTGTTGCATGACAGCAGCAGTGTGTTCATCTCCCGAAACAATAATGGCTCCACCTGTCAGAAGACAAAGTGGGTCACAAGCAAAGCCTTATTGGTGGCTGCCACCTCAACTTTTATCTCTGATTAAACTGTAAGAATCCTTGTGTTGAACACCCTACTGGGCATGGGCCGTATGTTCCAGCTTTTCCCTCTGATTAAGCCCTTCTTCAGATTTATTGGCCATGGAAAATAATGGGAAACACAGCGAATGTAGAAGTTTTAGCCCATTACTCATGGCTTTTATTGGCATGGGCTCTGTTTGGCATACAGCCATTGACCTGTACAGAGGACAAAGCAAGTAACGCCTCTCCTGGCTCTTGGCAAGGAAAAGCATAGCAGTGAGGAGGTGGCAATATAGAGAAGGAGAAAGTGAGAGAGGAGACGTGGCAGCAGTGTAGGTGGGTGATGTGAGGATAGAGAGGAAGGAAATTGTTTAATAATTTACAAAAAAAAGGAGATTTCAGTATTCCAAAACTTATCTCAAAATATTTTTGCTATCTCTTTGTAATATAGAAAAGAAGTTGCATATAATGCAAGAAACTGCCTAACAGGGATTTATAATAGTGTCTAGACAGAACAGTTGATCCCTAAGGAAGTAGCGCAAAAAAAAAATGAGACCCTGTGTGCTGGGTGACAAAGTTAAAGTTCAGAGATGAAACTGTTACACAAGATAGTGATCCTTACAGTTTATACTCTGTCTGTGTATAAATGTCTATATGTGAGTGTATTAAGTATATTTTTTTAATTATAGGAGAACTGCTAAGCATAGTGTGAAACCCCTGGCAGTAAGCTCATTAGTAAGTAATAATCATGTATACTATAAATTAGCTTGTGCCTTTGAATGCTTTTCTGTTGGAGACAAAGATAATATACTATATTTGCTCATATTGGTTTAGTGTGTTTTATTACAAAGCTTTATGGTAATTTTGCTTTTTTAAATGTGCAACGTTTTCTAGGCCAGAAGAAAAAGGAAAAACAATACAGAAATCCAATTTAAAGCAGAACTCCACCAATTTACATACAAAGTTTAAGTTTACGGGTTGAGGAGGAGATTCATAAATTTTTTAAGAAACATTTCTGATGATGCCCAATAAAAGAAACGTTTAGGGTAATCTGCAGTAGACATTTTGATTAGAGGAAATAAAATATCAGTTTTGCAGTAGCTGTTTCCTCTGGGGTAGATGGACGGGTCAACAAAACATTAGCCTTTGACTTAAATATCTCTCTCCTCCGCTAACACTATTGTTTACAATAAGTCCTGGAGATAAAAGGTGCAGTTTGAATGACAATGACATCTGTGTAAGAGATCATATGCATATTTCTTTTCTTTTTTTTTAAGCCTAAAAAAATCTTGTCATATCCTTGCACAATGTTTAAAATATGCCCTCCCTCACCACGGGCGTCAGGTGTTTTAGCAGATCTTAATCCAGGTTGTTTTCTGGCAGATATGCTGCAGTGATGTTTGGAAAATGAACACAATCACTGCTGGCATCGATGTCCATGTGCCATAGGATTTTTAAAACGTGGAAAGTAGAGCTTTACCTAGGATCCAGCACAGCTTCTGCGCGCTAATGAAAACAGCATCTCTGACTAGACGAAGATATCTCACATAATACAACATTAACCATGAGTAGCCTAAATATAATTGTACATGTGAAAACTTACTTGAACTGCTTTATATATTCATAAACTCCTGTAACTCTTGGGGTTTTAGAAAACTCGACAGAAAAAATTGAAAAAAGGGATAGACATGTGAAGGAAGCAGAACTCCATCAACATTGTCGCTGTTTTATTTGAGTTACTGTACGCACTGTACAAATGGATGCACTGCCTGCAGATGCTGTTCCGTGATGAGTGAGTGAGCTCAAGCCTCGGCTGCTCGCTCCAGAGTTTGTGGAGAAGCACATTTCTACTTTATAAATAACACAAAAGCCTAATTGTTGGTTGATGTGAAAGCTGCGCAGCTGAATTCTTTTCATGTTCTAAATATTTACTCACAGTTACGCAAATTGCTGGTGCCACCTTAAACTGGTAGTGAAAAAAAAGAAAAGAAAAAAGAAGCTGTTCTTAGTGCTGTACATATGGTGGATGTTGGTGCGTGTGGTTCAAACGTGTGAGGCGAGATCTCAGGGTTGCATAAAGATGGCAACCTCGTGAACAGCTGTAATTGGTTTCCTCTGACAGATCAAACCATCACTCTGTCTCGGAACATCCAGCTGTCAAACTTGACACACAGTTAGATTTAGCCACTTTTGCTCTTTCCAGGAAGTATAGACTTGTAGAGTCCGCCGATGACAATGGCGGCTTTGTACACCCACACAGTCATGGGCACACATTCGGCCTCCTCAGCCCAAATCCATGTCGAGGTCAAGTCTCTGTTAATTGCTTTCCATGGAGTAGATGGATGGATCACGGCTTCAGTTGACGAGGCTGGGAGGTGTAGGGAAAGAAAAACACGCATGTGGTAAGACACACACAGAGAGTCTGGCACACATTTCAGCCAACGGAGACTGTTATCAGCTAATTAGTAGCAGTAACTGCAGGGGCCAACCTTATTGACACTGGAATAACGGTTTTCTGGTTTGAGTGGCACTGTCACTTCTCCCGCCGTATCATTGTGATTCAATTATAAATACACAGATGCAGGGAACGGAACGTACAATCACCCCAAGGAGGAGACGCTGCTTTCAGATGCTGTGATCACTTGAGCGGCCATATGGGTTATTGTGTGCAGACTGGCCACGCTCTCTCCCAAATGGCAGACTAAACTTCAGTGGATAAATAAATGAATGAATATTTATTTCACATTTCACATCACTCGGCAAGTCCCACATCGGTCGAGCCTCGAAAAGCAGAATGCGACAACACACGAACTGAAACAATGGCAGTGCTTTTTGTGCCGTGCAGAGGGGGTTAGGGTAAAGGATTACACGTGCCATTGTGTGGCCATTCAGCCTTGGTCCTCCTCCAGCTGGATTGCTTTCATTCCCGTGATCATGATACCCATTCAAAGCTCGAATGATGAAAAGAGCACTAAATGTATTTTTTGTTAAGAAATTGCAACAGTATCAGCTGTTTAGATTGTTTTAATCAGAGGAAATTTAGGCTGCACCTGTCATAGGTTTGCTGTTGGGTATGTGGGGGGCGGTGAATGATTAATAAAAAAAAACACGAGGCTGAGCCAACTAGCCAAACCTGTTGCCTGTTCCAATATCTAAAAGGTTCGACTAATATGGTTCGACTAATTTCCTGTGCATTTAAAAAAAAGAAGAAGAAGAAGAAGAAGAAGAAGAAGAAGAAGAAAAAGATTTGTACAGGCTCCAAAACTAAAATCAGCACTTTTAAATTTCTTCATTAGCCAGAAAATATCCTCGGATCACTATTATTTATTTATTTATTCGTGGAGGCTAGCGTCTTTTTTTTCTTAGAGCACTACCATGTCTCCTGCTTTGTACCCCGAGGAGATTATTTGGAGAGTTGTGACGTAACCTGGAGCTAAGCAGAGGGGAGGGGGGAGGGGGGGGGAACAGTGAATCACGTATGAGGGACAGAAAGTAAGATGTTCCCACATGCCTGGCCGCAACTGTTTCTTATTAATCTGCTACATGATTGATGGGAGGATGCATGGGAAGGTTGATGGGAAGAACCTGAGCAGAGAAGGCAGGGGGGGAATTGCTGACCACAGCGCCTCTTAATCTTAGATTTTGAATGGGGGTGTTTTCAGAACGGGGAATATCCTGGAGATGCATAGTTTATGAAACTGTATCGTTCTCGTGCGTAAAATGCCAAGAGTTGCACTGGACTGGAGGAATAGGGGGTCGGGGATTGAGAGGTAGAGTGGGGGCGGGGGGTAGAGAGAAAGTGACGGATCGGCCGAGCGATATGGCGAAAAAGTGGGAGAAAGAGACAGCGCGACAGAGAGAGAGAGAGAGAGAGGGAGAGAGAGAGAGGGAAAACGAGAGAGAGACAGAGAGAGAGGCTGTGAAGCGACTTGGTTGGCAGTGTTCGCCTCTGTCTCTCAGGCAGTGGGAGAGATGTGCGTAACATGCAGCGGAGAGCGGTGATCATCATCTGCGCGCCGCATCGCCGTGGACCGCCGTGCGCACTCATAGACGGAGACACACCGAGGGGTGCAGCCCGCTCTCCCGTACCCGTCGTGACCGACACTCCCGTGAAGCCGGCGAGAGACCCCTGAAGGAGCAAAAGAAGCAGAAGAAGTGGTGTGAGGAAAGATGCCAGCCGCTCAGGCTGTGATTTGGGGTTAATCACCCCTCTGTTTGGAAATCACTCTGACGCACCGGCGACGAAGCGAGCGCGCTTATTTTTGCGGAATCCCATCCTCCTTCCTTCTGTGTCACATCTAAAGCGGACTATCAAGTGGGGATTTTTTTTCATTATTTATTTATTTTTATTTTTTTATTTGCACGAAAGCTGCATTCCATGGCCAACAGAATATGAGTCAGTGCGTGTCTGTGAGCTGAGGTGGAGTGTGCGTCTATCTCTCTCTCCCGCTTGCACGGCTGTCTCGGTCCGCCACAAAACCTTCCCACGCCAGGATGCAGCTGCTCAGAGTTGCGTGGGCACTGACCGGAGCGGCGATCTGCTGCTTTCTCATTCTCCTTATCCACTCCCGCCTGCTCAAAGAAGGTAATCACACCGAACTCCACCGATTTACCCCCTCAATCTGATCTGTTACCGAGCTATCCTCTGCCGTGTAGTTTATGTGAAGTTTTCCGCAAAAAAATAAAAAAAAATAAAAATAAAATAATAATAATACAAATATGTATATATACATATTCAAACATGATCAAATATCCAATTTTCTTAAGTGGCTCCGATACAGAAAAAAAGAAAAAAGAATCCAATCCAGTTTGCACAAAAGCAAATTCATGAGGCGCACAAGCGCTGCTGTGATTCCTATCCCACCTGCATTTCTGCATCTCTGCTCATCAACAAGTAATCAACCCGAATATGTTCGATTAACCAGTATTCAATGCCAGAGGAGAAGGAAGAATTGTGCTCAAGGAAGAGGGGGTGAAAAAAAGTACCACCAAAAGCAGTTGACTGAATGGAGATACTGATTTGTTGTAAGCGTTTTCAATAGATGGCACTAGAGTCTAACTTTAGGGTAACATTGAGGTCAAGCGGTTCTAATGTCGTTCCATTCGCCTTTATATTGTGTTTTCAGACCTCCTTTCTTGGAGTCGAAAGTCGGGTACAATTCCAATGCAGACCCTCGGTCACACAACTCTCAGCTTCTCTGTTGCTCTGGCTGCTGTGTGTCTGTCATTGCTGACATGCTGTCTGGATGCACAGCCTGCAGATATGGCTGCATTGTGGGAAGTTGGTGCAGCTGGGGTTTTTGTTGGGAGGGGGGGGGTGCTAATTAATTGAGTTCCATTTGCTGACATTCAGCTGTTAATGCTTTAATGAATCACAACTTAGCCGATGTCTCAGCGTGGGAGATTGTTCCGTGTAACCGGTCATTAATTCCACCTACAGTACACCGCGATATACACAAATCACATCTGTCTGCGGGGAGACTTTCATGCAGAGGTTGAGCACACTTACTGCTCAAACTCCTTATGAAAGTCAAATGGTGTAAGCTGGGGGAATTACTGCACTGCATAAAGCTGGCACGTAAAACAGCTCTTAATACTACCCTTACACATGTATACCCCGGGGCGAGCAGGGTCTGTTTGGCACTTAGGAACGGTCACGAGTTTTCCTTTGTGGTGATTGTTGAAAAGCGAAGGCTTGGAATGGCTCGCCATGCCCTCGCTGCCTCCAGCCCTGGGCAGATATTCGGGTCAAGCAGTAGCAAGCACTTCCCTCACCGTGGTGAGTCCATGACTGCTTCTGGGTAGGAGTATGTCCAGCCATAGTGAAGTAAAGGGAGCGAGGGGTGAGAAATAGGTCTGTCAGCCAAACAATTTGAAGCAAGGGGAGTTGAGGATTCTGTACTGGCACATGTCCCAAAGCCACCCTTTGTAGTTTTAATTTACTGTGGCACACTGGCCTTACAGAGAGGTCAAAAAGAGGATTGTGTAGCCACCTAACAGTACAAAAAAGTGCTGCTTGCGGCCGTGTTGATGCGATGGGATCTTATTAGATTCGGGCCATCAGCATTGTTGAGCTTGTTGACTGGCAAGACAATATTTTTGACCTTCACTGCCGAGTTGTTTGCCGGTATCATGTTGTGCTTTTTACGCTGAGGTGTTGTTCCCTTAAGCCCGTGTTTTTCTGTGCTTTCTAACTTGACACAGAATAGCTTTTAAGTTTTCGGGGGGGAGAAGTCTGCTGGTCACTCTCTGGCAAGAGGCCACATTTAATTTCGGTTTGGGCTTTATTGAAATGTGGCACAGAGAGACGGAGGGAGAGAAGTGGTGAGAATATGCTCACTTTAGGCTACAAGAATGGCCAAGGTCAAACCCTGCTCTGAGGCCTAATAATACGAACTGATAAAATGAATTCAAAGGAGTGCATTAGCGACAGTCTTTTGGGAATGAGGATAATGAAAGGCATGCACAAGGGACCTAAAAAAGAACAGAGGCCGTTTAGTCTCAGCCTGCATATTCTTTCATTAAGAACATTGGGGTTGTCCAACACTACCATCTTTTAGTGTGAATTAGAACAAAAGAAAGCAGGGGGGTGGGGGGGTGGAGAAGTATTTTTAGTCTCCTCTCTATCATGTGCCGGATTGATCGCCTCCTCTGTGCTTCAGTGCGTGAGGACGCTGAAGCTGGCGGTACAGATGTGCATGCAGGTGGTATATTATTTAAGGTAGCCTGTCAACAAGAGAGTTATTTTCATATCAGTGATTGTGAGCTTGCAAACTACAGATTGAAGATGGTGATTTGGGCTCATGGAGAAAGAATACGTCAGCTCTGTGTCAGCTTGTTAGGAAGCTGAACACACTATGAGCAGAAATATGCATTTGAGGTTGGGGGGTTGTACACCCCGTTGCGTCAGCCCTCTTGAATAATGTGGCACAGGATCTCGGCTCGCAGAGAGGCTTGGGTTTGGGATTGGAAACGTATTATGCGCTCGGAATGTGGATGAATTTTGGGCCATAAATTTCTCACACTGTCCACTTCAATAATTCACACAATGAAGCGAATCCCGTTTCGCTCTTTATTGGCTGAGATATTTGTCACATGGCAATAGAGGGTCCGACAGGTTCGCAGAACAGCTCCTGGTGCAGAAATCCCCCGGCGAGTCTGGGACCATCGAGGCACGTGAAAGGTTTTGTTCTGGAAATAACGCGTTAGTCACTGTAATAAAATGGCCTGCATAATATGCTACGGTTATATCTTTGGTGTGCTTTTAAAGCTAAAAAGAGCAGCATCTTTAAAACACCAGTGGCCTGTTCGCTCTCAATATTGGAGTAACATTGTGAAGGTGTACCAGAACGCAGCTTAGTGGCTTTATTGAAAATTCTCTCAAGTGTTCATGAGGATGCTTTAAGAGTCAATAAAACCTTAAAGACAAATTTGAATAATCTTGAATGATTAGTTTGCATTTTCTCATCGTTGTAACTATGTCATGGATGGCGCCATATAGAAGGTTGTTTTCCCAAAACTTATAAGCATCGTGGGACACATGCATCCCACTCTGATTTCAAGTTGGCCAAACCAGCATCTGTCAGGAGAAAGATGTTTGATTACACATCATTTAATTCCATTTAATTAAAAACATATGAAGAAGTGCAGTTTTAACAGTAGCTTTCATTGTGTGGTTTTCTACATGATAAAGAAATGCTGCAGTGCTAAATGAAAGAAGTTTGTCAGCATGAATTTATAAAATTGCAGAAAAATGTATGGTTATTACAGGTATAAGAGAGTACTTCACATTAATTGGCAAAAAATGTCCTATCCTTTTGCTTTTTCTGTGGCTTCATTGTAAAAACAAAAAATCTGCAGCACACAGTGAAAAAAAACAGGAACTTTTCTGCATTTTAACTGTTATTGCTTATCTATCACTTAAGTGCCTTGGTGTAGTATGAATGGCAGTGGATCTTCACCAGGAGGGAAAAACTATGAAAGCTATGAAATTCAGAAATTGATGTCGCATTTTCCAAAGATGTGCGTCAGGTTGGCCAATTCTGGTCCCCGGACCTTATGTTTGAGACCTCTGATTGGAATGATCTTAGATGCGCATTCGTTTGCAAGCATACCCACATGAACCATTTATTTTTATTTAATTTTTTTTTAAAATTAATACGTCTTGAAAAGATGAAATATTAAACGTCTCTGTGACACTGAGGAGCTGAGTAGGTGAAGCGCTCCCAAAAACCTCATGTCTGCACAGCCCAGTGGCCTCTCTCCGTCCTCCACCTCCCTCAGACAGACCACCAGGCTGCCTAACAACTGCAGTTATTGATCTTCAGGTAAAACCACAGAGTGAGCCATAATGGACCAAAGTGACAGATATACAGTGTGTGTGTGTCTGTGTGAATGCACTGCACTCAATGTCAGACAACCAAAATCATTTACAGCAGGTGCTCTAAAAAGCACAGTGCAGGGTATCCTCTTTTTTTTCCAAACAAAAAGATGTGGATTAGAATGACATCCTGTGCTGTGGAGGCTCAGCTCGGAGCAGCCTCAGGCAGATTCGGGTCAAGTGGTGGCAAACTCGCAGTGTCATGCATGCACGTGGCCCATGAAGGAAGGGGAGCCCTGTCACTTAGGACACCAGATGAAAAAGAGAGGGTGTAATAGTGTAATAATAAACATATGAACAAACCGGGAGTCTGCAGTCGGGGGTTATGTGCTCAAAACTCACGTCACTGCCTGAAACACAGGACATCGCTGTCTCTTACGTCGAGCTCTTTTGCTCAAATTAAACTGATTGCATGACTAAAAGAAATCCTAGCGTGATCGGTTTTATGTGCCAGAGTTGTCAAACAGTAGATGGTTATGTAACATACTAAAGATCTGCTCCACAACTGCTGTTTATATCGGCAGTTATTATTTTTCCCTCCACTTTTCGTACTATTTTGTCCTCCAGTTTCCTCCTATCACTGCAGAGATTTCAGTACAAGTATTCAATTTCGTCGTGCCATCTGCGGATGTCGTGTCTCATTTCTCCATCTGAATATTAATTCTGTTTGTGCCACTGTAGCAGAATGCACAATGCGTGCTAGGCACGGCCTTTAAGAGGCGTAGCCGCTTTTCCAGCTATCACCTGCATCTAAAACCTGCCGATGGTCTAATTAGAGTGGAGGCCAGGGCGAACGGCTGCACGAGCTCCCACTCGAATGTGATTTTGAGATCCAGCAGCAGAGGTGCAGTCATTAAGTATTTCTTCCTTTTTTTAAGCATCTATTATTAATCTGCAGAAAGGAAGGATTTTAGGGAACTTAGCCCTGCAGCACAGCTTTAGGACTCAAGTGAGATAAAGATAATATGCATGTATTTAATGCTGCAGTAATACTCCTTCAGCATACAGAAGCAATGTCACAATCACCGTGTTTTACTTGGCAAATCCTCGGTGATTTCAAATCCCTCACAGCCAAGGGGTACGTAGGTAAAAGTCTGTCTGAATGTAATCTGCTGTAAACTGCTCTAAATTGAACACAATTTATCTTTAATGGTCAGTATCAGCTGTAATCCATAGGGGTGGCACGAATTAATCAATTGCTTAAT